GGCCTGCCTTCGAACACCCTCCAGTCTGTCCGCGTATCTGGCTTCAAAAGCCAGACTGCATCTTGTCTGTCCGTCTGCACGCTTCCTGCACTTTATAACATGTACGCGCGAAGACTCTGTGGATGACTATACTGTTGAACAGCCTTCGGCCGCTGATAATCTCATAAAACGGTATGCGCGGGTGTCTGAAACGTGGCTATCATTTCTCACGAACGGAAATGACTGTTTTAATTACATGCGGTTTTTAGAGTAGGGAGTGTAATTATTCGACTAAAGGAACTATACGCTTATTTTTCTGAGCCCCTCAGTAAAAAACAAACAGCATCCATCAAACGAAGTAGCGCAGTCAGTACGCTATTAGATCCAATCGCCGGGCGATGCTGTCCATGTAAAGGGGACTGTACAGGGTTATGTATGGAGACCATAAGTTGGCCTGCTATCCGGTAGAATTCATACTAGAGTTAAAACATTTGTGCCAATCACTTATTTGAAGCCAGCAATTTATCATAATTTGCTTAGGGTTTTGTTTGTTTCTCCCATTGCAAGATCAACTTATGTTCATTTACTTATGATCCAGCCTATTCTCTTTAGTCATAGTGACATTCGAAACCTTACATACGCTATTTCGCTCCAGATCCTTCCAGTCTTTGCTAGATATTTGTTTTTGCTGACGAAACGGTACGCGTGTATCTAAAACCCCGCTAGAAACAGTGAGCTTAGCCACCTCCCAAACGCAACATCAATTTCCATATCTTCGGTTTATTTACTCGGATTTTTCTGGTTGGTCACCGAGAGTAGCCGATCCGTAAACGTTTTCGGACAAACATTATAAACAAATTTGTCTTGAAGCTAGCTAATTTCATGAACCCTGTCCCATTAGTTGCTGTGCTCGGTCAGGTCAGGTTTTATTGAGGGAAATCTAGTTAAATACCTTTGAACTCCCTATTGATACAGAACAGTTATGCAATGCATTGGTTCAACAGAACGTTTCAAATGAGTGGCGTTGCCAGTAATGGTAACTGGGTTAAGGAGGGCCGACAGGGAAAAAACTCCTTAGGCATTGCCATTTGAAGGATTTAAGGAGAAAAACTGTCGCGCGTGGACGGGGGTGGGGGGGAGAGTATATTCCAATCGGATGGCCTGTGCCGAGAGTGTTTGAAGCATGTCGGGAGAATCCCCTCGCGGTTTTGTCATAATCCTAAGGGTTCCACGAGCAGAAGACTGCGGAGGCCACGAGAACGTCATCGATTGTCGGAGATGCGCCCATCGTGCACCCTTGCTGGTTACCGATTCTGCCGACTAAGTGACGAAACAGAGGACGACAGAGGTAGTCGGTAGTTTTCTAAACAAACATAT